CTCTGGGGTTGCCCATTGAACTGAATGAGCAGCAGTGACCTCTGGGGTTGCCCATTGAACTGAATGAGCAGCAGTGACCTCTGGGGTTGCCCATTGAACTGAATGAGCAGCAGTGACCTCTGGGGTTGCCCATTGAACTGAATGAGCAGCAGTGACCTCTGGCTCTGTGGCAGGTCTTCTACTACTCCACTGGGATCTTCCAGAGGGCAGGTGTGGCTCAGCCGGTCTACGCTACCATCGGAGCAGGAGTGGTCAATACTGTGTTTACCATCGTCTCTGTGAGTCACTCTGGTCTCTCTCTGGTCTCTCGCTGTTCTCGCTCTGATCTCTCTGGTCTCCCTCTGGTCTCTCTCTGGTCCCTCTGGTCTCCCTCTGGTCTCTCTCTGATCTCTCTGGCCTCGCTCTGATCTCTCTGGTCTCCTCTGGTCTCTCTCTGGTCCCTCTGGTCTCCCTCTGGTCTCTCTCTGATCTCTCTGGCCTCGCTCTAATCTCTCTCTGGTCCCTCTGGTCTCCCTCTGGTCTCTCTCTGATCTCTCTGGTCTCCCTCTGGTCTCTCTCTGGTCTATCTGGTCTCCCTCTGGTCTCTCTCTGGTCTCCCCCTGGTCTCTCTCTGATCTCTCTGGCCTCGCTCTGATCTCTCTCTGGTCTATCTGGTCTCCCTCTGGTCTCTCTCTGGTCTCTCTCTGGTCTCTCTCTGGTCTCCCTCTGGTCTCTCTCTGATCTCTCTGGTCTCGCTCTGGTCTCTAACCCTCTCCTCTCTCAGTTGTTTGTTGTAGAGCGTATGGGGAGGAGGCCTCTTCATCTCATTGGTCTCATGGGGATGGCCGTCTCCGCAGTCTTCCTCACCGTTGCCATGGCGCTGACGGTATGTTCCACACCATTTGACACTAAAGAGGGAGCAGCGTCTGCAATTAGAGCTCCCTGCAACTCCCTGTGCTGCCACCAGAGGGAGCAGCGTCTGCAGTCAGAGTTCCCTGTCACTCCCTGTGCTGCCACCAGAGGGAGTAGCGTCTGCAGTCAGAGCTCCCTGTAACTCCCTGTGCTGCCACCAGAGGGAGCAGCGTCTGCAGTCAGAGTTCCCTGTAACTCCCTGTGCTGCCACCAGAGGGAGCAGCGTCTGCAGTCAGAGTTCCCTGTCACTCCCTGTGCTGCCACCAGAGGGAGCAGCGTCTGCAGTCAGAGTTCCCTGTCACTCCCTGTGCTGCCACCAGAGGGAGCAGCGTCTGCAGTCAGAGCTCCCTGTAACTCCCTGTGCTGCCACCAGAGGGAGCAGCGTCTGCAGTCAGAGTTCCCTGTAACTCCCTGTGCTGCCACCAGAGGGAGCAGCGTCTGCAGTCAGAGTTCCCTGTCACTCCCTGTGCTGCCACCAGAGGGAGCAGCGTCTGCAGTCAGAGTTCCCTGTCACTCCCTGTGCTGCCACCAGAGGGAGCAGCGTCTGCAGTCAGAGCTCCCTGTAACTCCCTGTGCTGCCACCAGAGGGAGCCGCAGACACATGACTTCTCACCAAAACTAAATTATTTATTTACTTTTGTTTTGAAGGCAGAAACACTGTTTTTAAGTGTGATGTCAGAGCTGTATCTCTCCCTGATCCTCCTAATCCTCCTCCTGGTCTTCTGCTCTCTTTCTGGTCCTTCCTCATGCGCCTCTGCTCCACCTGGTCCTCTGCTCTCTCTCTGGTCCCTCCTCATGCTCCTCCTGGTCCTCTGCTCTTTTTCTGGTCCTTCCTCATGCTCCTCTGCTCTCTCTCTGGTCCCTCCTCATGCTCCTCTGCTCCACCTGGTCCTCTGCTCTCTCTCTGGTCCCTCCTCATGCTCCTCCTGGTCCTCTGCTCTCGCTCTGGTCCCTCCTCATGCTCCTCCTGGTCCTCTGCTGTCTCTCTGGTCCCTCCTCATGCTCCTCTGCTCCACCTGGTCCTCTGCTCTCTCTCTGGTCCCTTCTCATGCTCCTCCTGGTCCTCTGCTCTCGCTCTGGTCCCTCCTCATGCTCCTCCTGGTCCTCTGCTGTCTCTCTGGTCCCTCCTCATGCTCCTCCTCGTCCTCTGCTGTCTCTCTGGTCCCTCCTCATGCTCCTCCTGGTCCTCTGCTGTCTCTCTGGTCCCTCCTCATGCTCCTCCTGGTCCTCTGCCCTCAGGACCAGTTGTCCTGGATGTCTTACGTCAGTATCGCCGCCATCTTTAGTTTCGTGGCGTTCTTTGAGATCGGTCCCGGTCCGATCCCGTGGTTCATCGTCGCCGAACTCTTCAGTCAGGGCCCGAGACCATCAGCCATGGCTGTGGCCGGGTTCTCCAACTGGTCCGCCAACTTCCTGGTGGGAATGTGCTTCCAGTACGTGGAGGTACGTCTCATTTCAACATTACAAAACTCATAACAATGTCGGCGTGTTTTTTGAACCCGTGTCAGCCCCATAAATTGGTCTCTTTCTGGTCTCTCTCTGGTCCCTCCCTGGTCTCTCCCTGGTCTCTCCCTGGTCCCTCTTTGACCTCTTCCTGGTCTTTCAGAAACTCTGTGGTCCGTACGTCTTCATCATCTTCTCGGTGCTGCTGCTCTTCTTCTTCACCTTCACTTTCTTCAAAGTCCCAGAAACAAAAGGACGAAGCTTTGAGGAGATTTCTGCAGGATTCAGGAGCAGAGGGAGCGACAAGTACAGCTCTGCGGAGGAGTTCAACAGCCTGCAGGGGGAGGAGCCGCTGTGAGGGGGGAGGAGTTCAACAGCCTGCAGGGGGAGGAGCCGCTGTGAGGGGGGAGGAGTTCAACAGCCTGCAGGGGGAGGAGCCGCTGTGAAGGGGGGAGGAGTTCAACAGCCTGCAGGGGGAGGAGCCGCTGTGAGGGGGGAGGAGTTCAACAGCCTGCAGGGGGAGGAGCCGCTATGAGGAGGGGGGGGAAGAGTTCAACAACCTGCAGGGGGAGGAGCCGCTGTGAGGGGGGGGCGGGGGGGCACTGTGAGGGAGGGGCGGGGCCGCTTTGAGGGGGGGGGGGAGGAGCCGCTGTGAGGGAAGGGCGGGGCCGCTTTGAGGGGGGGCAGCCGTTGTGAGGGAGGGGAGGAGCCGCTTTGGGGGGGGAGTTTTGATACATTAATATATATAGCATAAGCAACATTTAGTTTGTATGTACATATTTGGTGAAAGTGACTTCAGAGTAATGCTTTACAGAGACAGTAATCTTGTAGAGTAATCTATTACTTTGAAGTAACTAACATACTGTTTGTTCTGGTTCTAGATGAAGTTTGCTTCATGTTGAAACTGAATCCTCTGTTTTCATTATTGTTGAATCATTTGTTTTTCTTGTAAAACTTTCTGCAAATCTACTTTTTGTAAATAAAATGTTCAGCTCCGGACCAATCAGAGCAGCTCTGGACCAATCAGAGCAGCTCCGGACCAACGGACCAATCAGAGCAGCTACGGACCAATCAGAGCAGCTCTCAAGTTCTAAACCAAAACATTAAACGTTGCGTTTTTCATAAAGTCACAAATAAATCAACTTTGTTCTGGTTCAATCTTTTAATTTCCCGACTTCATTAAAAACTGTTTCTGACATGATCAGACTGAGCTCTGACTGAAGACGCTGCTCCCTCTTCACCACAATAGGCCAATATAGCGACCTGTATAGGACCAGGTCCGGGTCCTCCCGGTTGGCCACTTGTACCCATGATGCATCTGTTCCTTTCTCACATAAACAATTCGAAGCTTGAGTCACATTTTAAAACCACTTCATACAAAACAAACACAAGTAGAAGAACATGAGCTAAAAAAATAAATATGTATAAAAGGACATTTCAGACTCGTGTTTCAGCGATTCACAAGAAACAAGAGTTCATGAAGCTTCAGACTGCCCCCAATGAAACCCCTTTACCAGAGACAGAGACCAGAGTCAGAGACCAGAGTCAGAGACCAGAGACAGAGCAGAGAGAGAGACCAGAGTCAGAGACCAGAGTCAGAGACCAGAGTCAGAGACCAGAGTCAGAGACCACCAGAGTCAGAGACCAGAGTCAGAGACCAGAGTCAGAGACCAGAGTCAGAGACCAGAGTCAGAGACCAGAGTCAGACACCAGAGTCAGAGACCAGAGTCAGAGACCAGAGTCAGACACCAGAGTCAGAGACCAGAGAGACGTCTAAAAACAGCGCTATCAAACCGGTCCTCAAAGTTTTCATTCCAACCCAGCAGGAGCACATCAAACTCCATCCATATCCTCAGGTCTTGTCTGCTGCGCTCCTGATTGGTCGGAATGAAAACCTGCACCCATAAGGTTCTTTGAGGACCAGTTTGAACACAGCTGGTCTGAAATGTATTATTTCAAGGTGGCAGTTTGTTTCTCGTTTCCAAGTGAGAATTTCTCTTAGACCATGTTCCCTTGTCCCAGTGGCTTCTCCTGGACCTTGCCTTCAAGAGCAAACTGGTCCCCACTCTGGGAGAGGGACCTGCAGTCTGAGGTCTCCTGTAGTATCTCTGTGGTCTCTCATCGGTCTCTGAGGTCTTATGAGGACTGAGGAGTCTGCTTTAGTGTTTCTGTGGTCTTCTGTAGTGTCTATGAGGTCTCTTATGGGTCTATGAGGTCTGTGGAGTCTGCTGTAGTGTCTCTGTGGTCATTGGTAGGGTCTCTCTGGTCTCTGAGGTCTCCTGTAGGGTCTCTCTGGTCTCTGAGGTCTCCTGTAGGGTCTCTGAGGTCTCCTTTAGGGTCTCTGAGGTATCGGAGGTCTCCTGTAGGGTCTCGGAGGTCTCTAGAGCGCCCCCCACCGGCCTGAGCTCGCTCTGCAGCAGCTCGAACATATCCTCCAGGACCTGCCACAGACAGGACTCCAGAGGGAAGTCGTTGTCCACCAGATTCACCAGAAAGTAGTTATCGTGGATGTACTGAACGATCATCCGAGACGGAGACTCGTCCTCGTAGAGTTTGGCCCATTGTTCAATCCACAGAGCGAAGGCCTCGTCCTGGGAATACATGACAACTGTGTTAGAGTCCCCACATTACACCTGTGTTGAAGTCCCCACTTTACACCCGAGTTAAAGTTCCCACAATACACCTGTGTTAAAGTCCCCACATTACACCTGTAGAATTACCTTCCAGAACATGAAGCTGACGGGGTCAACCACAGTGGGTTGAACAATCTCTCGTCCGGGAAAGATTCCCCATGTGACGGCGTTGGGCTGCATGTCCGGGGCGTTGGTCAGGTTACGACCCTACACACACATACACACACACAGACAAGCACACACAATAATATTACATCATAAATATGTTTTAGTATTGGTTTAAAGCCCACAGCTCAGACACAGTGGATGTAGACAAGACAGACACCGACACACACACACACTCACAGACAGACAGACAGAGGACTCACGTGGACATTGACGATGTGGTAGTTAACCCGTGGCTCATACTTCTTCAGAACTTTGAGGAGCGCCGTCACGTTCTCGCTGGAAGTGAAGAACTCCAGATACGCCTGCGACAGAGACACAATCAACACCAGAGACACACACTCCGTGGCCTCTCTCTCTGGTCTCCCTCTCTCTGGTCTCCCTCTCTCTGGTCTCCCTCTCTCTGGTCTCCCTCTCTCTTGTCTCCCTCTCTCTTGTCTCCCTCTCTCTTGTCTCCCTCTCTCTTGTCTCCCTCTCTCTGGTCTCCCTCTCTCTTGTCTCCCTCTCTCTTGTCTCCCTCTCTCTGGTCTCTCTCTCTCTGGTCTCTCTCTCTCTCTGGTCTCTCTCTCTCTCTGGTCTCTCTCTCTCTGCTCTCTCTCTCTCTGGTCTCTCTCTCTCTGTTCTCCCTCTCTTTTGTCTCGCTCTCTCTTGTCTCCCTCTCTCTTGTCTCTCTCTCTCTTGTCTCTCTCTCTCTGGTCTCTCTCTCTCTGGTCTCTCTCTCTCTTGTCTCTCTCTCTCTGATCTCTCTCTCTCTCTGGTCTCTCTCTCTCTGCTCTCTCTCTCTCTCTGGTCTCTCTCTCTCTGGTCTCTCTGTCTCTGGTCTCTCTGTCTCTGGTCTCTCTCTGTCTCTGGTCTCTCTCTCTCTGGTACCTTCTGGAACACGTATCCTCCTGGTGGCCCCCAGCCCACGATGGGGTCTGTGGAGGACTTCCCATTGATGTTGGGCTGAGAGTTGATGGTCAGGACTCCTCGCTGGTTCACCCTCTGTAGCTGGTCCTTCAGGAGGTTTGTCTCAGGGGCCAGGGGCTCGTCGTTCCAGGGCAGACACAGCACCTGCACCACACACATCATGAAGAACCTGCACTATGAAGGACCTACAAACATTCTGCTGATTCCAATACAACAGACTGTGCCATTAAAGCTGAAATACATTATACTCATTTAGAAATGAACTATGGTGATAGCAGCTTGTATACATATGGATAATGTTATATACATATGGATAATGTTATATACATATGGATAATGTTATATACATATGGATAATGTTATATACAGATGGATTTAAAACCACCTGAACAACTGCTAAAGAGAGAGAGGGGCCACAGTGAGACCAGAGAGAGACAAGAAAGAAACCAGAGAGAGACTAGAGAGGCCGGAGAGAGACCAGAAAGAAACCAGCGAGAGACTAGAGAGACCAGAGAGTGACCAGGGAGAGACCAGAGAGAGCAGACGTACCCTGTGGCCTGTGTGGTTGGGCAGAGCAGCGATATAGCTGGTGAAGACCTCGAACACACTCTTCTCGCTGTGAAGCTCCGCCCCCCACATCTGCAGCAGCGCGGCTTTGGACGACTTACTCTTCAAGTAAAACAGGTAGTAGTCGTTCAGCTCACCAAAAGCTGGAGAGGAGGAGTTCCCCCTGGTGGACAGAGAGAGAGAGGTGTAAGGATAGACCAGAGAGACAAGAGAGAGGGGACAGAGAGAGAGCAGAGAAAGACCAGAAAGAAAGGCCAGAGAGAGAGCCCTGAGAGAGAGAGAGAGAGACCAAAAAGGCCAGAGATAAGGAGCAGAGGGATACAAGAGAGTGAGGCCTGAGGGAAAGGCCAGAGAGAGACCAGAGTGTGTGTATGTTGTAGTCAGTGTGTGTGTGTGTGTGTGTGTCTCTGACCAGCGGCCGTTGGGAAACTCATCCCAGTCCTGGGTTCTGTAAATGTAGCTCTTGGGTCTTGATGCCCAGAAGATCGGCCTCACGTCCTCCACTCTGCGTTTGGGATGAGCACTGACCGCCCAGGGGAGGGGCCTCCTGAGGGGTGAGGGGTCAGAGGTCAGAGAGGGGAGGAGACAGAAAGGAGAGGGGACAGAAAGGGGAGGGGTCAGAGAGGGGAGGGGTCATAGGGGGGAGGAGACAGAAAGGAGAGGGAACAGAGAGGGGAGGGGTCAGGGGGAGGGGCCAGAGAGGGGAGGGGTCATGGGAAGGGTGAGGGGATAGAGACCTGCTCCACACACAGTACCTGGTCCCCACAGTACCTGGTCCCCACAGTACCTGGTCCTTATGGCGCGTTCAGACCACCAACGCTAGAACGCAGCTTCCGTGCGCACCAGATGCACATTTTCTAAATTTCAGACGCAGGGCTGTTCCGACCAGAAGTCATGCTGCGGTGGTGCCCGCTGGAAGTCGTGGAAATAGCGGGCGGACTTTGACGCAAACGGAGTTAAGTTATCGGCTTTTTGTGTTAAGTTCGTCTCCAATAATGCAGCGTTTCTGGTTCCAGAGACTATATAACAGCAGTATGTGTTCACGGAGGTGACTTTATATAACAGCAGTATGTGTTCACGGAGGTGACTTTATATAACAGCAGTATGTGTTCACGGAGGTGACTTTATATAACAGCAGTATGTGTTCACGGAGGTGACTTTATATAACAGCAGTATGTGTTCACGGAGGTGACTTTATATAACAGTAGTATGTGTTCACAGAGGTGACTTTATATAACAGTAGTATGTGTTCACGGAGGTGACTTTATATAACAGCAGTATGTGTTCACGGAGGTGACTTTATATAACAGCAGTATGTGTTCACGGAGGTGACTTTATATAACAGTAGTATGTGTTCACAGTTACTTTATATAACAGTAGTATGTGTTCACGGAGGTGACTTTATATAACAGCAGTATGTGTTCACGGTGACTTTATATAACAGTAGTATGTGTTCACGGAGGTGACTTTATATAACAGCAGTATGTGTTCACGGAGGTGACTTTATATAACAGTAGTATGTGTTCACAGTGACTTTATATAACAGTAGTATGTGTTCACGGAGGTGACTTTATATAACAGCAGTATGTGTTCACGGTGACTTTATATAACAGTAGTATGTGTTCACGGAGGTGACTTTATATAACAGCAGTATGTGTTCACGGAGGTGACTTTATATAACAGCAGTATGTGTTCATGGAGGTGACTTTATATAACAGCAGTATGTGTTCACGGTGACTTTATATAACAGTAGTATGTGTTCACGGAGGTGACTTTATATAACAGCAGTATGTGTTCACGGAGGTGACTTTATATAACAGCAGTATGTGTTCACGGAGGTGACTTTATATAACAGTAGTATGTGTTCACAGAGGTGACTTTATATAACAGTAGTATGTGTTCACGGAGGTGACTTTATATAACAGCAGTATGTGTTCACGGAGGTGACTTTATATAACAGTAGTATGTGTTCACAGTGACTTTATATAACAGTAGTATGTGTTCACGGAGGTGACTTTATATAACAGCAGTATGTGTTCACGGAGGTGACTTTATATAACAGCAGTATGTGTTCACGGTGACTTTATATAACAGTAGTATGTGTTCACGGAGGTGACTTTATATAACAGCAGTATGTGTTCACGGAGGTGACTTTATATAACAGCAGTATGTGTTCATGGAGGTGACTTTATATAACAGCAGTATGTGTTCACGGTGACTTTATATAACAGTAGTATGTGTTCACGGAGGTGACTTTATATAACAGCAGTATGTGTTCACGGAGGTGCGCCATAAGTTTATTTTATTATTAAACGGTATTTCCGCGTCAGCGAACACGCTCGAAGTAGTTGCATAAAGTCACGGGAGCATGACAACGCATATATTCACAAGCACCATATCCCTCATTGTCAACCCTGGTTTAGTCCTGGTTTAGTACTGGTTTAGTCCTGGTATAGTCCTGGTTTAGTCCTGGTTTAGTCCTGGTTTAGTCCTGGTTTAGTCCTGGTTTAGTCCTGGTTTAGTCCTGGTTTAGTCCTGGTGTAGCTCCTGTTTTGGCTGTTTACAGTATGTTCAGTCTGCTCGCTCAGACACTAATGTACCCGTGACCACTTTGCAGCTCTCTGATTGGTCGCTGCGGGAGCGTCCGAGGAAACACTCAGTCCCCACAGTGCCTGGTCCCCACAGTGCCTGGTCCCCACAGTACCTGGGGTCCTCCTGCCACAGCCCGAGTCCCCTCAGGACCTCCATGGTGGCGACCTCTCTGTTCAGAGTGTAGAAGTGCAGTCCTGGTACCGCCCCGGAGTCCAGCAGAACCCGACACATCTGTACCGCCTGGTGGATCCCATAGTTCCGGATCGCCGCGTCGTTGTCTTTGATTGGCTCGATGACTTTGGTGATCTCCTCTGGTACCTCCAGTTTGGACAATTTCACCAGCTGCCGCAGAGACTGGTACCCCTGAAACACAAGGTCATACTGAGACTGGTACCTTCTCTGGTCCCTCTCTCAGTCTGGCCTCTCTCTGTAAGGGACGGTACCTGGATGGGGCAGTATCTGATGGGGCAGTACCTGATGGGGAAGCTGCCTGGCAGGATGGGGCAGTACCTGGATGGGGCATTATCTGATGGGGCAGTACCTGATGGGGAAGTACCTGATGGGGCAGTACCTGGATGGGGCAGTACCTGCATGGGGCAGTACCTGCATGGGCAGTACCTGGATGGGGCAGTACCTGGATGGGGAGATGCCTGGTAGAATGGGACAGTACCTGATGGGGCAGTACTTGTTGGAGCAGTACCTGATGGGGCAGAATTTGAGGGGACAGTACCTGGATGGGGAAGATGCCTGGCAGGATGGGGCAGCTGATGCCCAGGGCTCTACAGTCCTTGACGAAGGTG